TAAAATCAAAATAAATAAGCTTCAGGGACTAAAATATAATGCGCGTAAAATAAAAGGACCAAGTTAGAGATTCAGAAACTCCTAAATGAGGATTAAATTGCATTTCTTTCAAAATTGATCTTACATAAATAAACCCTATAAAATTCGAGTTTTCCTAATTTCCCAAAATGACAGCTTTTTGAGGATGGTACATAAGCCTTGTTTAAGCTTTTTCTAAACCCTAGCCCTATTTGTGTCAATTCATCGTTTTCTCTCAAACACAATCTTCTCTTATTTCTTTCTCTTTAGACAGAATACCATAAAAAAATACCCCCAATCGCCGTATTTTGACACCAGTGATAAGCAAACTCCTTCCTAAAGAAATCTCATTCGAACCTTATCCCCAAATGAACCTTTGAATGCCTAAATAAAAGACAATTATTTTTATCACTAAAAAAATCAATCATACTCAATAATCTCGACCTTCAAAATGACTCCAACACAAAAGGATTTCAAAGAAGCAACCTTCCATCGCAGAAGGATTCTTCCGACTCCGGTGAAGGAACGAAGAGCTTTATTCTCAAAGTTAGGTTTTTTTTCTTTCTTTCGGAGTTTTTCTTTAGTTATTTTCCTTATTGCCAAAGGCTTTCTCTTTATACATACACACATATATATATATATATATGCGCCCATATAATATGTATATTTAATAATAATCAACCTAACATATATTTATATGCGTATATATTTAATAACAAGTGTTAATTAACAGTATTACTATTTTTAAAATAAAATTAAGTTAAAGAAAATAATATATATATATATAAGGTAAAGACAAATAGACTCGAATTTAATTCGGTTGTGACTGGTTTTGAATAAAAATAAAAGGTAATTTGATAGGTAGATTGAATTTAATACGATTTACTACTCTTTAGGGAAATTAGATTTTGAAATTATTGATTCACTCTAATTGCTCGTTATTGTCTTTTTATTTAGGTAGCCTTTCACACATTGCCTCTGGTTTCCATTAGAACCCCAAACATCTTTGATAGAAAGTGATCATATATTTTCCTAGAGCATTCAATAGGTTTTATATTTCATATACTCTTATAATGATAACAATTTTGAATAACCCCAATTTATTAGAATTTTTTGTATCTCTAGATTTTAATCTCTTTGAGACATTTATCATGTAAGTTTCATGCTAAAATTATAGTCAGCTCCGGAACACTTGCACTTTTCAATTTTTTTATACAATAATACACATTGATATCATATTTTCAATGCAAATAAACTACATATATTTACTTTCAATGTAAGATGCTTACAAAATAAGGCTAACAAGAAAAAAGACCTCTTTTATTATATAAATGTAAAGAGCTTTTGGATATACATGACAAAATTTTAACTGAAAGAAATAACAAAAAAACAAAGTAGGTGCCTTATAAATCAAGAGTAAAGATGTCTTTGAATTGGCACACCGTAGAATAACTCAAACGTAGCTTCTATTGAGAGAATCTCGAGAATTGTGACAATGAGTGTGAAGTTCCATATGGACTACCAAATTTCCAGATGTTAGATGCTATGAAACCAATATTGAATTTCATCTACATTCAATTTACTTTTATATTTTTCAAACATGCTTGTTTCAATCATAATTCCCAACTTTGATCACCATCTGATATTGTTATTCAATCTGGAACCATTTTTGAACTCAAGATATTTATATTCCCAAAATAATTTTTTTTGTGTTTATGGGGGTGGAAAGTTTTGAATTGATTTAACTTTGTCTGGGTTTATGTCAATCCCTTTTTTGCTAAGTACAAAGCCCAATAGTTTCCCTAATATGACCTCGAAAGTTCATTTACTTAGGTTGAGTTTTAGTTGACATTTCCTCAACTTTTAGAAAAGTTTTCTCAAACTATCAACATGTTCATCGTCTGTTTTAGCTTTGACAATCATACCATCGACATAAACTTCTATCTCTTTATGCAACATGTCATGAAACATAGTCACCATGGCTCTCTAGTATATTTCCTTTGTATTCTTCAACCCAAACGACATTACTTTGTAGCAAAATGTGTCAAGTATGGTAACAAATGTAGTTTGTTCCATATTTTCAAGGTGAAACTTTATTCGATTGTACCTGGAGAAACCATTTATGAACGCGAATAAGAAATTTCCAGTAGTATTGTCCACTATAGTGTCTATGTGTGGCAAAGGAAAATTTTCCTTCCAACTTTCTCTATTGAGATCTCTATAATCAACACACATACAAACATTTCCATCTTTCTTTGGAACCAATACAATATTGTCCACCCACTCGGGATATTTGGCCATTTTGAAAATTTTAGAATCAATTTGTTTCTTTGCTTTTTCTTAATTTTTAGCAGCATTTTAGGTCTTATCATTCTAAGATTTTGTTGCATAGGTTTGCACTCTAGATTTATTGGTAACTTTTATACTACCATTTTTGTATCCAAAATCGGCATGTCCTCATATGACCAAGAAAACACATCTTTATACTCTTAAAGCATTTCAATCAAGTTCTGGCATCCTTCAATAGATAAAGTGGTTTCAATTTTCACTTATTTTTTTCTTCATTGAACCCCAAATTTAGGACTTCTGTTAGCTCCTCATGAGACAGAATCAATTTTTCATCCTTTTCCACCATTTCTAACAATTCAAAAGGCAAGTCCATTCCTTTTTATTATCATAATTCTTGATTTCCCTTTGACATATGGGTGGCACAAAATCAATCTTCATGTCAGGTTCATTGTCATTCATGTCATTGATATTTAGGGACTTAAAATAATAGCAACGAGAAGATATATATTTATACACATACATTGGAATCTAAACCCATATTAAAATAGAACAAAATAATAATATAAAGAATGAAAGAATGAATAGAAGAATATTTTTCAAATTAAAATTAAGAAAATGCATATTTTATTGCAAATTAAAGACATATAGCTTAACCTTTACAAAATATCACTTATTATCCTAGGTTTATACAAAAGGAAAAGTTTTCGTGTATTACTCTTGAAAAGACTTGTAAATTGTAGGTAACTAGTAACTCTCTAAAAGAGTTATCATATATGTTCTTTTTTACCTAGGCTTAGTTTCAACTTAAGCATTACTAAGAGCATATTAAGATCTTTTGTACATAATTTTATACCTATTGCATAATAAGAGTTGGTTGGGTAACTTTGGGCTAAATCTGATATTTATTGTTGAAATATGGTACACTAATGTTGTGACATTGTTCTATGTTGTAGGCGATGTCGTGAAGCAATGTTGGCTCAGTCTTTGTGTAAAGCTAGCAACAACTGTTGAGTCACAGGCAGTTAATGGAATTTTCTGGAATGGGAGAGTTGGTTGTGCAGCTATCAATTGGCTTCAATTTACTTAATACGTGGAGCATTTTTATTAGGTAGATGTTGACTTCTTTAGCTTATAAATTGAGGAGGCCTTCACACCATTTGATCATCCAATTTTTCATCTTTAATTATTTTCTCCACCTATTATATCATCCGATCAACCATGCCTACTTAAGTCCATCGCCATGGAGTGTTGTAATAGCTAGAGAGCATTATTGTGTAGTAGTGATGATTGAGGAGATCCACCTTTATTCTTGTTGCACCGTTGATATAGGGAAGTAAAAAGTTATATTTGGATGTTTATAAAATGTTTTTGATGTTATTAGGTCATGAACATCATGTGTTTGTGTTAATGCATTTTGTTATGATTTATGTTTTGACTTTACTTTTATGTGTTATTGAACCTCTTTGGATGTTTTTAGAAGTAAAACCATCCCTATGTATGTTTTTATCTATGCTATTTAGAAATTAGTATTATGGATATTACAACAACTTATATCCAACATTAGTTTTTGTGAAAAGCAAAGTAGTATATCAAGATGTATGTTGTCAATGTTATGCATTGTTAATTGTTTAATTACTAGAGTTAATGAAGGTTAATTTTGGTTAATTAAATATTATTAATCTTTGTGTAACATATGAATGCAAGGTTTTATGCACCGTCATAATAAAAATTGCCATATATCAGTCGCATCCATTTGATCCTTGATCCATTACTCTTATGTATGATGTATCACTACCTGAAACTTTTATTTTGATTTACTATCTTTTTTATAACTTTGTTTTCTTTCCACTCTAAACATTTGCATATTTTCCACAACTCTCTTGTGTTTTTTTTTATCTCTGTGAGTTTGACATCTGAAGATTCCTAGCTTCCACTTTATTACTTGATATGTGACACGTGCACTTGCGTTGAATGTTATAACTATTTCATAGCATTAAATTTGTAGTGACATTGTCTGGGAGTAATGGTTTGGCATTAGAATTATTTTTTCATTTATTTATGTGTTTATTTTCTTTTCCGGATACATATTTCTTAGTTTAGTGTTATTGTGTATATCCTACAGTAACGATGATGAATTATAATCATTTGATCCCAAAATAGAATGAACATTTTGTCGCTGTTGAAGCGAAGCTAACCGTAATCAAGCAAAAATTATTGTTGGAAGTTGTAACAATGCTTTTCCACCATTAAGACATGATTATGAAAATGAATTGTCGGTTAGAAATAGATTTAATCAATCGTAATATTATAACATGGATGACCGCAACCGACTGATCAGGGAACACATTGTGCCAAAACTGGATTACTTTAAACCTAGCATTGTCCGACCAACCATTCATGCTGCCCACTTTGAATTGAAGCCATTGATGTTCCAAATAATGCAGTCAACATGGCAATATAGCGGTTCATTTACTGAGGATCGGATAGCACATCTTAGAGCATTCATAGAGGTATGTGACTCGTTTGTATAATAAGGAGTACCTAAGGAAGCATTAAAGCTAAATTTGTTTCCATACTCGCTCTATGACAAAGCTAGAGCTTTGCTTAACTTACTGTCGCCTGTTGTTATAGCATCATGGAATCATTTAGCACAAAATATTTTACTGAGATTCAATCCGCCTAATATGAATGCCAAGCTTAGGAGTGACTTAACATCCTTCAAGCAGTTGGAAGATGAAAATTTGTGTGAGGCATGGGAACACTTTAAGGATTTACGGCATAAATGCCCAATGCATGGACTTCCACATTGGACTCAAATGGAAATGTTTTATAATGGATTGAACATGAAAACGCGTATGGTTGTTGATGCTTCTTCCAATGGAGCATTTTTGGATAAGACTTATAATGAGAAAGGATATCTAACAGTGATTATCAATACCCAAACATGAGGAACATGTTTGGCAGACGCAATGCTACAGTAGTGGATATTGATGCCTTCAATTGAACGGCTTCACAAATCACAGCATTGACAGATATGGTGAAAAAATTGTAAACACGTGGGGGTATCTATGAGGTATAATCCGTATATCTTCTTTCATATGTTTATTGTAGTAATGATCATAACTATGAACAATGCCCATAAAACCCTAAATTTATATATTACATGAGAAATTACAATATAAATAATATCTCCAATGCGTATGGAAACACATACAATGTCAACTTCCTCAACCATCCTAATTTAAAACAAACGATGCCCCAATGTCAATTAAAACAACATGCAACACCGCTATAACAATGTCAAAACTATCAAAGGTAACAGGCAAACCAAGCCTCGTTCTTAACATCTCTTGAATCTTGGTTGAAGGAATTCATGTCAAGGATCAAGGCAATAATCCAAAGTCAATCAACATCATTAAGGGAATTAGAAAATCAAGTGAGACAGTTGGAAAATGCTATTAGTAACAAGAAGTAAAGAACACTACTTAGTGACACCAAGAATTTAAATCCTCAAGGTAAAGCCCATTCTAATGAGCATTATAAAGACATCACTAAAAGAAGTGGTCTTCATATTGGGAAGCCGGCTGAAAAGCCTAGGAAGAAAGATGATGAGAGGCTTGGATAGTAAGATAAGGGTAAGGAAAAGAAAGTGGACCTCGAGCCACAAGTTCTTGATGTTAAAATAAGGGAGACGGGACAATGTAGTAATTATGGGACAGTGCCAACAACAATGCAGCAACACTACCACATGTGTTAAATTTGATACCGAGACAGCCAAATCCAAGGCCTACACCATCATTTCCTCAAATATTTAAGAAGACCAAGGAAGACCAATAGTTCAAAGTATTCATTGATGTGTTTAGGCAATTGACAATCAATATTTTGTTGATTAAAGCATTGGAGTAAAATTTGAACTACATCAAGTTTGTGCAAGAAGTTCTTTCAAAGAAGCGAAGGATTGGAGAATTTGAAATTGAGGCACTCACCAAGGGATGTGGTGATATGGAAACAAGTCGATTATCACCTAAACTCAAAGATCTTGGGAGTTTTATTACTCCTTATATTATTGATGATCACTTTTTTGGTAAAGTATTATGTGATTTGGATGCTAGCATTAACCTAATGCCATTTTCAATTTTTAGGAAATCTAGAAGTGGAGAAGCAAGGTCCACCACCGTGAATTTACAACTTGTTGACCGATGTATTGTACATCCTAGTGATATTGTTGAGAACATGCTAGTTAGAGTGGAAAAGTTCATTTTTCCACTGATTTTATCATATTGGATTGCGAAGCCGACAAAGATGTCTTGATCATACTTGGTTAACCCTTCCTTGCCACAGGTCGAGCTTTTATATATTTTGAAAAGGGAGAACTTACTATGTGTTTAAATGATGAACAAATTACATTCAATGTTTTGAATAATGTTTCATATGTTGATGACAATGTTGAATATTATTCAATTGATGTTTTTGATGTTTTTGCACAAGAGCATTGATATAAATGCTAAAGCATGAATGTTGCCTTGAGAAATGTTGTGACAATAGAGGAGTTAACCAAGAAGTAAGAAGTTGAAGGAAATTACATGAAACATTTTGAGATATTGGAAGTCCTCAATCATCCTATTCAATCTCCTAAACTCTTAATTGAAAACCCACCCACACTTGAATTGCAGCTTCTACCCGAGCATCTTAAGTATGCATTTATTGGAATTAATACAACTTTGCCTGTTATTATTAAAGAAAAGCTCGAAGCATCATAAGATTAAAAGTTGATTGCTCTTCTGAAGCAGCATAAGTAGGCAATTGCTTGGAGTATTGTTGCTATTAAAGGCATTAGTCTGGTTTTTTATATGCACAAAATATTACTTAAGGACCTTAACAATAGTTCTATTGAGCAACAAAAAAGGCTGAAAATGATCATGAAGAAGGTGGTTAAAAATGAAATCATCAAATAGTTAAATGTTGGGATCATATATCCCATTTCTAGTAGTAATTGGGTGAGACCTATGCAATGTGTTCCAAAAAATATGGCATTATTAATGTGGTATCCCATTAGAAGAATGAGTTAGTGCCAATACGAACAACTACCACCTGAAGAATCTATATGGACTATAGGAAGCTAAATAAAACCACAAGAAATGATCACTTCCCGCTGCCATTTATTGATCAAATGTTGGATCGTCTTGTCGGCAAGGCTTTCTACTATTTTCTCGATGGGTATAGTGGATAAAATCAAATATCCATAGCTCCTGAAGACCAAGAGAAGACAACCTTCACCTGCCCATATGGTACTTTTACTTTTTGATGAATTTCATTTAGTATATGTAATGCTCCAGTAACATTCTAGCGATACATGATGGCTATATTCTATGATGGAAAAATATTGGGGAAAGCATCAGACATCACTTAATATGTGGGGAATTTTTATTGGGTATAGGTTGATTTCTTTAGCATATACAGTGAAGAGGCCTTCACACCATTTGATCATCCAATTTCTCATCTCTAAATATTTTCTCCATCTATTTTATTGTCTAATCAGCCATGGCTACCTAAGTCCATCGCTAGGGAGTACTACAACATCTAGAGAGAATTATCGTGTAGTAGTAGTGATTGAAAAGATCCACCTTTGTAAATGTTAATTCGTTGATATAGAGAAGTATCAAGTTAGATTTGGATGTTTATAAAACGTTTTGGATGTTATCAGGTTACAAACATCATTTGTTTTTGTTAATGCTTTTTGTTATGATTTATGTTTTGACTTTACTTTTATGTGTTGTTGAACCTCTTTGGATGATTTTAGAAGTAAAATAATCCATATGTATGTTTTTATCTATGGTATTTAGAAATTATTATTATGGATATTACAACAACTTATGTCCAACATTGGTTTTTTTGTGAAAAGCAAAGCAATATATCGAGATGTATGCTACCAATATTATGCATTGTTAATTGTTTAATTACTTGAGTTAATGAAGGTTAATTCTGGCTAATTAAATATTATTAATCTTTGTGTAAAACATGAATGCAAGGTTTTAAGATTGGTCATAATAAAAACTGTCAAATATCATCTGCATCCATTTTATCCTTGATCTAATTCTCTTTTGTATGTTGCAACACTACCTAATACTTTATTCTGATTTATTATGTTTTCTATAACTATGTTTACTTTCCACTCCAAATATTTACGTATTTTCCATAACTATCTTGTAATTCATTTTTGCTCTTCGACATCCAAAGCTTTCTAGTTTCCACTTTATTAATTGATATGCGACATGTGCACTTACGTTGAATGATGAAACTATTTCATAGCATTAGTAACTATTCAAGAGTCCAAATTTTTAGCACAATGACTAGTGGAACGGAGTAAATTCTTGTAGCCCTTCCTTCTTCAACATCATCCTCCAATTTGTATGAATACTTAAATCCTTTAGAGCAACCCTAAAGACATGTTTCTTAACTAGTTAAGTCCACTAGAACATGTGACCTCTATATACAAAGGTATCATAAAGTGGTGGAAAAATCATTGGCTCCGAGATGACTTCTTAACCTAACATTCTTGCTCTTCTCCTTTCTTGATTCTTTTGAACTTTTTTAAATTTGTCTTTTAGGTTGGAATGATATCTCAAGAAAAAGAGATCCCTCTTGGTGGATGAGGATATAGCATTAACTAATCCTTGAATATGTCTACCAAAACCTCTTTCAAACCTTGCTCCTTTTTCCCAAGGTCAACTGAATTACCATTCTGGAGCACCTAAACAATCTAGGTCCCTGTATCCTACTTTCTTCTGGCTCAAATTTGGTGTTAACAAACTCAAGAGAATTGAAGGAGCATTTGAAAGCATCTTCACTCACTTCAATATAGGGAGAACTAGTGGAAACAAAAGTAATTACATCTTCTTCAGCATTGATACACATCAACCTTCCCTCAATCACAAATTTGAGCTTTTGATGTAAGGTAGATGAAATTGCCCTTTGTTGATGGATTAAAGGCCTTCCAAGTAAACCGTTACAGGTAGGCATGATATCCATTACAAGAAATTCGATTTCATATGTAGATGGAACAATAGTTAAAGAGATATCAATATTCCTAAAACTTCTCTCTTAGTTCCATCAAAGGAACAAACAACGTTCTGACAATTCTTCATGTGTGTATTGCCAATGCACAACTTCTTCAAGGTTACTAATGACATTACATTCAGAGAAGATCCACTATCAAATAACAACCGAGTTAAACATCTGATTTGCATCTTATGGTAATATGGAGAGCTTTGTGACTATCAATCATTCTAGAAGAGAACTCGTCATGAAAAAAACAAAATGAAGTTATCTACCAACAAATCTAGTTTATCTACGGATAAATCCTTTGGTAGAAATGTTTGGTTTAGAAACTTCAACAAACAATTCGTTGTGTTTCAAATTTCAATAAAAACACAAGCACTAAGACACGAGTAGGTAGCTTGTGTAACTAATTAACACTATGTACTTTCTATACTTCAAAAAATTTAGAAATTAAATAGCTTCATTTTCTGTTACTGGTTTATTGATGATTGGCTCATCGTCTTTCATCAGCAAATTTTTAGTTTTTCCCTTTATCACTAGTATGATTTTTTTTAGGTTCTTTAGATTGATCTAAAGAATAACACCTCTCACTCCTGGTAAAATGGACCACTTCATTCACATCTTCTTTAACAGTTTTTAAGTCTTCAACATTTTCCATTTTAAACTCATATCTCCATGGGACATGCTTTTTATCCTTATAGAGAAATGGAGACAAGGATATTATTATCACTATTGGAGTTTCTATTTCTACCACTCGGGCTTTCAGTGTGATAACTATAAGGAAACTGGCATTGTATACTCCCTTATAAGAACCCTTAGATGTACAAACCTTAACTTATACTGCTTCATCATCTTCTTCATAACATTCCACTTCTCAGTCATCCATCATTCGCTGCACCAAAGCTTTAAACTCAAGAAACTTTTGTATCGTGCATCCCTTGTCATTGTAATATGAACATGCATCTTCGTTTTCATATTTCTTGAAGATTAAGTTAGGTACCAACAAACCAGCGATGACCATCTAACTCCACACCCATACTAGTGGGGCTTTTATTTCAAACATGTTTCTTGACCTTTTTTCCCCATTTTTCTTTAATTATTATGTTGACTCATGAACATCTATGGTTAGATAAAGGGTTCTGATACATGTTCATTTTTTTAGTGTCACTAAAATTTATGACATCTTTTTGCCTAATCCTTTTGACAATCTTCTGGAAGGCGGTGTGTTGAGTTAATCGATCAATGGAGTTGGCCAAGAGGGGGGTGAATTGGCAAATAAAAATTTCGGTGGAAGCTTTGCAGAAAATTGAAAAGATTTGCACAACGATTTAGAGTGTTTCGAATTTCTCAACCAAAGTCTACGTCCACTACCTTAGCTATCCACACTAAGGATTTTCCACAAATTCACTAATTTGTCTTTCTTTTGAGGAAAAAGAGTAACCTTACAAATCCCTCAAGAATTATACCCCAAATTCTTGAGAACACTCTCTCCCAAAGAGAATAATACAAATTTTGCAAACTTACAAGAAAATTCTCACTAGGCAAGATGTTTGCACAATTCTAGAACAAAGAAAGAACACTCAAGAATAATACAATTGAGCACAATAAGTGTTCTTCAAAGAAAAAATGAATATTGAATGAAATAGGTTTGAAAATGCTCAAACTTGAGGTTTGATGCTTTTTCTTTGATTCTCTCTTGATTCTTGTTGATTGTTGTTTCTTGTGTTTGATCAATGGCTTCAAAGCTTGTTTAAATACACCTTTAAATGATTCTGAACATTGGGGATGCTTAGTAGAGTCAATAGAGTTGTTTTAGTGTGAAATCAATTAATAAAACAGCTTGGAGTGTGGGGGGAATCGGTACCCCCTCATTGGGAATCGGTAACCCCTCATTGGGAATCGATTCCCTAAGTGTAAAATTCAAATATTTTGACTGTTAAACAGGGGGAATCTGTACCCCCTTGGGGGGGAATCGGTTCCCTCCGAGCATTCTGTTTTTCTCAGAGCCAAACCATTCAGGGGGAATCGGTTCCCTCTGAGCAATCTGGAATTTTTTGCTTTGAAATGGTTCGAAATATTTTGTAAAATTGTTTTAAAATTATTTTAAGATTAAAACTTAATTTTACATTTCAGTAAGGATTAAAAATGACATTTGAAAGATTTGGAGTAATATTTTGATATTCGAATAATTATATCGAATATACTCGAAAAATCTTTTGGAAAATCTTAAAATTCATTTAACTTAATTTGTTATATCGAAATATAAAAATATTTTCAACAATATTCCCCTTTTTGATATAACAAAACATTTTAGTAATTTTAAGATTTTGAAATCAAGTTTTGAAATTACTCCCCCTTACTCTAACACTTCTCCCCTTTAAAAACACTTTAACATTTCTCCTCATTTTTGTTAAATCAAAAAGAACTTTAAAAGATTTTAAACAAGGTTTTAAAATCATTTAGCCAATTGATTATAAATATATATAGCTTAAGTTGCGAAGATCACAATCAAGAGAAACGTTAGCCATTAGTTTCATAATCAATATTCATAAACAATGTGATATGGAGAATTTGGTCATATATCTAACATGATGTAAATGATGCAAGAATGAATAAATTTAACCAAACCAAATATATATAGAAATATAAGTTCAAACATCCATAATCCATCAAACAAATTCAAACATCCAACAATCAAAGTTAAAATAATCCAAAGTCATTCAAAATGTTGAAACAATAAACTCCATGTTCTATTTCAAAGTATTAAAGCATGACAAATAATCAAGCATCCGTAGGAGGATCGGGAGGAGGAAAATGAGCTCGCATAACGGCCATCTCGTGTGAAAGTGCATTAATGCGTTCATTCATAGAAGCGTTGTTTGCGCGTATCTCCCGGATAATCTCCAATTGTTGAGCTCCCATTATGGATAAATGAAACTCTATGGAAGTGAAGCGAGAATCTATGGATGCATACCGAAAATCAAATGTCTCCATAAATGATTAAAAGTATGGAGGCATTTGATCTTCTGGTCGTGCTTGGTCCTCTGGTGGAGCTTGTTCCTCGTGTTGTTCTTGCTCATCATTGGAGTCATCGGCTTCCGGAGGTTGTTCATGAATACGAACCCAAAGACTAGTCTCTTCATTGAACTTCCATCCCGATTTGGTTAAAGAGAAGAGGTTGATTTGGTTTTTTAGGGGAAATGAAGCATCAAGACCAACTCTAAGCCCAGCCTTTTTAAACAGATTACTAAGAATACAACCGTAAACTAAAGAAGAACATAATTTTTTATTGGGAACAAGATTTGCGGTTTCGACAAGTTCATAAAAGATAATATGTGGAAGGTTGATTTTGAGATTATTTTGGACACAATGTAGCCAAAATAAATCTAAGGCTCGGAGAGTAGAGTAACAGCCTCCGGATGGTCGAAACCACCAAGAGATCATAAGGTAAAGAAAATGGTCGTGAAGATCAAAAACACTTGCACTATCCCTTCATTTGTACTGAGATCCTACCATCAGTGTTTCATTGTCTAACCCGTCATTATCTAATCCTAATGCTTTGGCTATGTATTATGAGTCAAGATGAAGGAATCGTCCTAGAAGATAGGACCGGATTCCTATGGTTAAGGTTTTATCTCGGTTTTGAATGCAAACGGTATTAGAGTAGAAGATACGAACGAGTTGATGGTAGACTATTGGTTCAAGCTCGAAGAGTTTATCAAATTTCCACTCTTGAAGAGTAGGAAGATGTCAAAAATTGACGTCTAACATGGCTTGAAGAGATGGGATTCGTTCTTCCTGAATTTTGTAGGACTCAAAGTATTGACAAAACCTAAAGTAGAGATTTTGTCTACGACCGGGTTCATTGAAGCAAGAATTGCGAATGGTCATGTTTGGATCATCGGGATTAGGATTAGGAATTTGTTGTATAGGTGGAGGATTTGGAGGTGAGTTTGGAGGTTGGCTAGAACGACTAGATGAAGGTCTAGAACGTTTGTGAGACATGATTTAAGGTAATCGGAATGGAAGAAATAACCTGCAATTTTAAGAACACATGTATGCAATATAATCAATCCCAAAACTCAATTGAGTCCTCAATATTTCAAAGTTCTCTAAACCAAATCTAATGGGAAAAGTTTTTGAAAACTATTAAAAAATAAGGGTTTGAAAATCAATATACACATAGTTTTCATAATAACAACATAATTAAATCAAAACAAAACAATTTGAATTTTTTTAATTTCAAAAAATTTCAAAAAATTTGAAAAATTCTTGTGCTTTTGATGAAATTAGTTACAGAATCTAGTTTATAAACACTAAACAATCAATGCCCTATCTAAAGTTCAACCTAGAACTAATTAAAACTAGTTCTATGTTCAAAAATTGATGAAATAGAAGTTTTAGAAAAATATCTTGAAGAATTTTGGATTTGAGTGAGATTAGATGAAGTTTGCACGTTTTTTATGATTCCAACAGGTTTAGGAGATGATATTTGAAGAGAATTCTGATTAAAAACGTTGTTTTGATGAAGTATGGAGATAGGGTAAGAGTAGAGAGGAAAATGGCTAAGAGAGAAGAAGAGAGGGTTTGAGAGTTTGGGGTGTTCTGCCCATGTTAAAAACCAAACCCCAGGGGGGAATCGGTTCCTCTTCAATGGGGTATCGATTCCCTCTGCACCAAAACTGATAAAATATGATTATGGGAATCGGTTCCCCTTTAAAGGGGTATCGATTCCCTCTGCACCAAAACTGATAAAATCTGAATTTAAACACTCAAAATGCTAAATTAATTTTCTCTAGTGGTATTGGCACCTCATATATTGAAAATTAATCATATTCAATCCATCAAATTAATCTTTAAATTACATTTTAACATAAATTTAATTTTCACCAAGAAGCATAAACTCCCCCTAACTAAAGCAATGAATGCAATCAAAAATTACTATTATAAGCATTTTTTTCATTTATTCTTAAAAGTGCTAAAATTATTTTAAGCACTAAGTGAAGATAGGTTAGTTAAACCTAATTCTCTCGTAAGTGTCCAAAAATGTTCCTTGTCTAAAGGCTTTGTAAAGATATCCGCTAATTGATGCAAAGTGTCAACAAATTCTAGAACTACATCTTCCTTAGTGACATGGTCTCTAATGAAGTGATGTCTTATTTCAATGTGCTTAGTTCTAGAGTGTTGGATGGGATTTTTAGTGAGACAAATAGAACTAGTATTGTCACACTTGATAGGAATAGTACCTACTTCAATTCCATAATAAAAAAGTTGTTGTTTCATCCATAAAAATTGTGCACAACAACTACCAGCTGAAATGTATTCGACTTCAGTGGTAGATAATGCAACACAATTTTTTCTTTGAAAACCAAGAAATCAGCATATTTCCAAGGAATTGGAAAGTACCGGAGGTGCTTTTCCTATCTAATTTGCATCCTCCATAATCCGCATCAAAAAAGGCATGCAAGCTAAAACTAGAGTCTCTAGGATACCAAAGTCCTAAACTAGGAGTGTCCTTAAGGTATCTAAAGATTCTCTTAACAGCTAGTAAATGTGATTCCTTAGGGCATGATTGAAATCTAGCACATAAGCAAACACTAAACATAATGTCTGGTCTACTTATAGTTAGATAGAGCAAAGAGCCAATCATTGACCTATATAATTTAACATCCACACATTTACCTCCTTCATCCAAGTCAAGCTTTGTAGAAGAGCTCATTGGAGTGTCATGAGGTTTCCCATTTTCCAGTCCAAACTTTTTGAGCATATCTTTGACGTATTTAGCTTGATTGATGAGGATGCCATCTTTTCTTTGCTTGATTTGGAGTCCCAAGAAAAATGAGAGCTCCCCCATCATGCTCATCTCGAATTCACTTTGTATTAGCTTAGAAAATTCTTGGCAAAGAACATCATTAGTAGAACCAAATATTATATCATCAACATAAATTTGAACTACTAATAAATATTTACCTTTATGCTTTAAAAACAATGTAGTGTCAACCTTCCCTTTTGAAAAACCTTTTTCAATTAAAAAGTTT